TTTAATCAGCGGGTCCGTTTGTTTTGGAGAGGAGGAGACCTCTGTGGATAATTGGAATCCTAACCGGGAGAAGCTGACTGCAACAACTCCCATGATCCCACACTGCTTCACCACCTCATCACACTTCCTGTTTCCTTACTGTTTTAGTGGCAGAAATTACAGACTGTAAATTCAGTTAGTTAAGTTAAATGATGGAGGAGCTGTGCTCTGATTGGTGGGTTTGTCCCAGTTTATACATCACCTGTTGTGTTTGTTTGAATCAATCTGAAGACTGAAACGTGATTAATAAACTCTCTGATTAAATATAAAATGATTGTTCTGTTTCTGTGGTTTAAAGTTCCTCAGCAGTGAAACAGTTAAGCTGTTTTATATTTGGAGCTCAGCAGACTTTCATTGTTTCTACAAACAGCAGCAGGAAACAGGAAATCAGCAGAAACAGGAAGACAAGCGGAGAGTGGTGACGCTCAGAGAAATCACATCTTTATGTTTTATATTTTATATGTCCAACAGGAAACATTTCTATTTATGATTTTATAGATTTTATATATATTTATAATATTTGAGCTGAGAACATGTGAGACATTTCCTCTCAGCACACTTTAAATCCAACATGATCTTTATTGAAAGAAACATAATTTTTAAAGGGGCTGCTGACTGATGAAACTCACCCTCTTCCAGGTGAGGACAGGTGTGGGCACGCCCACCGCCTCACAGCTCAAGTACACCTGAGAGCCGCTCACATTGTAGACCTCACCTGGTGGAGTGACGATGACCGGAGCTGCAGACAGACAGACAGACAGACAGACAGAAAGACAGTTCAGTGACTGTTAAATCAAAGATAATAACCATGAAGTTTGATTGCAGAGAAGTTTCCAAATCAGCCACACACAGGATGGAGAAAGTTAGAAAGACAGACAGGTGGAGACAGTTCAGTCACAGAGTTAAATGAAAGATAATTAACATTGAGTTTGGTGGGCAGAAGTTTCAGGCACAAACAGGATGAAACAGGTCGCAGGAATCCGACAGACAGTAAATCCTCAGTGACCTCAAAGGAATTCAGTTTGCTCTGAGTGCGCTCAGTGCGGCTCTTCATGTAGAAAGGAATTCAGTGTTTTCAGAGGGATGAAGGTGGATTATCATCATCACTCACTGTCTGTTACTGTCAGAGGTTCAGGCTGCAACACGTTCAACTTCACATTCATCCATTAATACAGAAAATCTAATCAATATAATAATGATCTTAATGTTTAATATTTATTTTATGTCTACAGATGTCAAATAAATGTTAATTATTTATAGAGGGACACTACTTTAAGTCATTTAGATATTATATTAATGATTAACTTAAATTCACTTATAATTACATTTATAAACATTTATGTAGACATCTGTAGAGTTGTTATCTGACTTGTAGATACATACATATATATATATATATATCATTTACGTGATATATATCAGTGTATATATATATGTGAAAATACTGAATATGACACTGTATGTATACCAGTATGAATATTACTTACATCAAAAACATCAATCAATTAGGAATCATTGATTTGCTGATTTGATCCTTTGGTGCTGATGGTTTACGTAAAGAGACTCTAATCTGCCCCTGCTTTTATTTGTTTTACAGTAGCCTATATATATGTATATATAAATACATTACATATTATATGTGTGTACAGACTCACTGTGTGTGTGTGTATAGACTCACTGTGTGTGTACAGACTCACTGTGTGTGTGTGTATAGACTCACTGTGTGTGTGTATAGACTCACTGTGTGTGTACAGACTCACTGTGTGTGTGTATAGACTCACTGTGTGTGTGTATAGACTTACTGTGTGTATAGACTCACTGTGTGTATACAGACTCACTGTGTGTTTGTACAGACTCACTGTGGGTGTGTATAGACTCACTGTGTGTGTGTGTATACAGACTCACTGTGTGTGTGTGTACAGACTTACTGTTTGCGTATAGACTCACCTGTGTGTGTACAGACTCACCTGTGGCGCAGCGGCCCTTGTTCTGGACGTTGATGGGTTCTTTGCCCTGACTCTGGGCTGCCAAGCTGGCTCTTTTCAGTGCGCAGCCGCTCTTGTATGTCACTCCGTCGGTACCGCAGACGTCATAGTCGCTCTTACAGACGCACAGTCCCAGCTTGTTCTTCTTGTCCGCATCGCTTTTGACGCACTCCAGTCCGGAGCCGCAGCGGCGCGCTGCCGCGCGGCGGCCGCCGCACAG